GAGAATAGGGGTGCCCAAGCTGACCACTGCCCAGGTCTTCAAGGAACTGTCACCACCCAGGCCGTATGGAACCAGCTGATGCCTCCAGCTGCCTGCAGTGGTGGGGGAGTCAGCCCTAGGAACCCAGGGCATACTTACTAGGTGTGTGATCACTTAAAGACCCCAGGAGCTCCTTCTGCAGAAGTCCTTTGTTGAAAGTGTGCAGGCTCAGCAGCAGATCCTGTTCCCCCACTCAGAACTCCACCCCTGCACAGGCAAAGGGTATCAGCTGTCTTGCTCCCCCACCCCCCACCCCAGATGCTCACCCCTGGGTTAAAATCAGTCCTTATGCTTGGGTAGGCAGGTTTGCTCTATCAAAGCTTTGGGAGGTAGGGAACGGGGTAGAAGACACTGTCCCTGAAGGTGACCTCATCATTAGCAGGGGTGGTGGATCCCGCCAAGTGCTGGGGTGACACATGGGTAAGGGGTACCTGCCACCCCAGGTAAGGGATTCTGACAGCTAGAGGTGTGAGGTTTCTGTGTCCTCTGCCCCCAGCCCTGAAGGTGGGCGTGACTAGGCAGGGAGGTGCAATAAGGACAGCTGATGGGAGCTCAGGCTTCCAGGGATCATCCTGTCCGGCTACAAAGCTCCCCATTCCCTCCTCATCCTCTTCCTTCTTCATTTGTCTGCATTCGTCCTTTCTAGTCTGTCTAACTTCACAGAGTCGTTTTGCAAAAAAAAAAAAAAAAAAAACCTCCCTGCAGAAGGTTGCGTGCCTTATGTAACCCTCTTACACCGGCAACTCCTCAAGTTATGATTCTGCTACCAATCAGCCGGGCTTTCTGGCTGGGGTGAAGTCGGGTATGGGTCTCCTATTGATGCAGATGGAGGTGAAGGTTTTATTTCCATGGGAGATTTGTAGTCCTCTTTCTCCCAACCCCCAGGTCAAGGCCTGGGAAAAAAAGAGGGTAGGGAACTGATCTTTTCATCTACCACCTAGTCACCTGCAGACCCTCCTCTGTGATAAATGGAGAAAATCTGCAGGGATTAGGCTCATATGTAAATAGTGCTGACCTCCAGTGCCCCTTCTCATTGAAAAGCAGAAGGTCCATTTCAGGTGCTGGCTGCCCAGGGCCTTAGAGAATCCCTCACCCCAGACTTCACAGCAGCAAGGCTGCTTGCATAGCTTTATAAATGCCCGAAACAACTACTAAATAGTTCTAAATTGTCTAAATAGTCAATAAGACATTTCTCAGGTTCAGTCATTTTAGAATCATGTTTGTAAGAAATTTTTAGGGCATAGAGGATTTAGGACTCAGGATTCAGGACTCAGGATTGCCTGAGCAACTTTGAAAGATTTCCTATCCACCCTCCTTCAAATGTTAATTAACACTAGTAAGTAGATGTTGTTTTTCCACTGATGGGATGGGCTTTACTCTGTTGTAATTTATAGAGCCTCAAGACAAAGCTCCTATGATATTTATTTTCATTTCGTTAGTTTCTGGGTGATGCTATACTTTCTGATTAGTCTTATTTAATTTTCCAGACTCTGCAGGCATGCTCTCAGCCTTGAACCTCTAAGTAAAAAACAGACTCTCTCCCTCAGAGACTTCTTCCTGGGCAGTGGGGAACAAAAGTTCAGTCTTACACTCACCCTTGCCCTATCTGAACGGGGTCAAGCGAGGGTGGCACACTTCAGCACCTTTTATTTCAGTGCTGGCACAAGACAAGTTCTTTGAAATGAAGCTATGTTCTATTTCAGTATACACTGTTTTAAAACTATGGTGAGTTTTCTACACAAAATTCAGTCTATGCCCAGCCAGCTCAGTTCTTTTCACTTATGTTCACACATACATGCACCTGCATATCAACTAGGATTATATTACCAGGATTATATTTTTGCAAACTTATTTTTTGAAGAGTAAAAGACAAAAGTATCTTAGAATGCTCTCAGTATCTTTTAAATGTCTGTTTTATTCTGCTTAATGCCCCCCACAGATAGGAAATAACCCCACATCCTATGTGCTACCCCACAACAGATAAACTAACCAATCCTTCTCCTTCTCTTCCATCTTTAATATTTTCCTTCGCCCTCCTTTATATTTTTAAAGGCTAAAATTTCTTTCCAAAAGGAGAAGGAACAAATTCGTTCAAGAATTATGTACACGAAATGCTACTTGTCTAGGGCAATTGCATTGGTAAATAAATGGCTTCCTGTTTATTATATATGTTTTACTGAGAAAATAAAAACGAACTCTAATGCCTCAGAGCACTTCATAATGCAAATATGTCAATTTTTGCTTTGCTGTCCAGCTTCCCACTCCTTGCTACTCACTGGAAATAAATCAGGTTAAGTTGGGATGGAGGTGTTAGTGGGTTCATTGTTAATTATCCCCCCTTCACCCGCCTGACCTGGGGAAGAGTCACTTCCAAAGTTGTCAAGAACTGCCTGTCGGAGTGGCAGGCAGAGAGGCTGTGTCCTCCTGGGGAAAGCACTCAAGTCACTCCGGGATTTCTCAGGTCGCTCAAGTTGCCCACGACTTCCTGTGTCGGCGTCACCAGTGCACACTGCTTGCTCTTCTGTACAGACACCAACCTGCAGCCACATCCCTGCTTATTCTCACCACCCCTAACCCCTTCCCGCAGGCAGGGCTCGGGAAGACGACCCAGACCCGCGGACACCCCCAGGCAACCCCCAGCCCCCAGGGTGGGACAGTCAAAGAGGCTCCTCAAACATTCTAATGTCCTCCTGAAACTTGGGGGCGCCTTAACACACTGACCGCCAATCCCGCCTGCCCACCCCACCCCACAATTTGGACCTAAGCAGAAAGTGGGGCCCCCTTGGCTGGCCAAAGAACTGGACACAGCGCCCCAACCGTCTTTTGAAGATCTAGAGGTCCTGTGCCATCCTTCCTTTCCCTCCAGGCTACAGGGGTCAACAGTCAGAGCCTAGCTCTCCTGAGTGGTGCTCTCTGGAGGGGTGAACACACCACACTGAGAGGAGGACAAGCTGTCCATCTCTGAAGCTTCCCCAAGGCCTTCCAGAAACTTTCCCCAGCACCCCTTCGATATAGGCCCAGTGTAACCCACAAGTTCCCCCATCTGCTCAGAAAACTTTACCAAGGGCCCTCTCTGTTCTCAGTGTCTTAGATCTGGTCCAGCTACTTGCCCTGTCACCACTCCACCTCCCCTTCTGCTCTCCAGGGCTGCTAGGGCCCAAGTGTGTTCGGAGAAACAATCACAGCATCAGAGCCGGCCTGAGCAGATCAGAGGACAGGAAGTGAGGGGAAGCGCAGAAAAGGGAAATTTCCACCTGTTTCTAAAAGTTTCCCTTGACAATTACCAGTAATCCCCATAGACAACTCCATTATGCATATGAAATAGAATTTACTACTGTTCTTGAAAAGCCGTTGTTATTATTATTATTATCTATTTTGATGTCGTTCCTAGGAAGATAGATGAACCATACACCGCGTTCCAAACCATTCTGATCTGTAATTAAATGGCAGGATCGGTTTGTATTCTCCTACGGCTTTTACAGAAGTTGCAGTGATCCAAAGTCGGTTTGCTGTGTCAGAGTGGCATTTTTATTAATGAGAATACAAAAAGCTTGCATATTCTTAGCCCTGCTTGAATTTAGTTGCTAAGCAACCGGTGTATGGTAATTCATCCGCGAAATTTAAATCTTGGAGAAAGGAGCCTGTGGGGTTTTTTTTTTTGCTCAATGGTCGCCTCCACGAGGAAAATAACTCTTGGGGACAGGCGGCAGGTGGGGCGGTCGGGCCAGTGCCCCCAGCACGGCGCTCAGTACCTCGGCGCCCCGCAACCCGGCGGATCCCCGCAGCCCAGCGGCCCGGCAGATCCCCGCAGCCCCCCTTGCTCCCAACGCACCGCTACCAGGTCTGCAGACCCGGCCACCGGCAGTGCAGCTCACGCAACTGCCCCGCCAGCTGCGCTGGGGGCGACCCTTTGAGCCCTGCCCGCTCGCCTCTCTCGGTGCAGGCCCGAGTGCGGGGTGAGGGAGGTAATAATCAGTGGGCCAGAGCCAGGTTAAAGAAGCTTGAGAATCCCCTTATTCCATTTTCCTGCTCGGCGAGACCCGGGAAAGTCGGCGCTTCCCCTTCCGAGATGCAATTAGGCGGGAGGCGAACCCGGAGCCCCTGGGCTCTCCCTACTAACACCCGGACCGAACCCGCCCCGAAGTTATGCGCGTGACCTTCAGGCCCGCGGGGGCTGCAGCGCCCAGGCACCGAGGTGTCCCGGGGACTTGCAAAAGACGGAGGCCCGTAGGGGTCCGCACACTTGTAATGCGGACTCCGCAGAACACAGCTGCAGCAAGGCCGACATCTGTCCTGGTGACTCAGAGGGAGTGACCAGAACACAACTAGGGGAAAGGAGTTCCTTCCTCACCACTGTTCCATAGGCTTCCTTTTCTTTCTTTCTTTCTTTCTTTCTTTCTTTCTTTCTTTCTTTCTTTCTTTCTTTCTTTCTTTCCTTCTTTCTTTCTTTTTTTCTTGCCTTCCGACCGGAACACAACTTCCTATCCTCTGCACCTTGCTTCTGGGTTCCTGATAACCTCAAGCTCTGAACTCTCTTTCAACACCCTTCCCCAGCAGAGATGCCTGAACAAGCCAGGTATTCGGTTTTATCACCCATGCACAGCATCTGTTCTCATCATCTCAGCCAGCCACGTGCATTTCACAAAGGAAGAGACTTGCTTTCATTTGTATCCTTCTGCCTAGAAAAAAATGGAAACAGGTCCACCTTCTAAATCATTAATTTCAAGTTCACATCCAGGGCCAATACTTGTTGCATCTAGTTTACAGTTTGATTAATTACCCTGGAACTTGGGCAAACTCAACTCCATGAGGAGAGACTGTTTCTTCCCTCAATTTAGTTCTGATGGTTCTTACAAGTTATTGATGGATCTTACTCTATTTACATACAAATTGCTGCAAATATGTCCATCTCTTAAAATGCATTTGGTATAAATATATAAAAGTGTCATTTTTGATTTAGCTTGAAGAGGTCGATCATTTATTACAAAAATAAACGAATAAATACAACAATATATTGTTGCTTCCAACAGGATAAATACTTTACAAATATATAATTTAAAAACAAATTTAATTGTTAAAATTATTTAAAATATTACACTTATCGATAAAACTATCAATAATATATACTGCATTTATAATTAGAACCAACTCTTTTCTGAATGTTGAAAACCATCCATACAAGAGATAATGGGCATGGTGATGAGCAAACACCGGAGGCGACAGGGAAGCAGAGAGAATCTCTAAGATCAATAATGAACAGTTCTATTATTTTGGAACAAAGGAGTCGTCCTTGGCTAAATACTTAAAAAAAAATAAAACAGAGCAACAACAGCAAAGTGACTATTTAAAATGCACCTTGAATGATTTATCACCCAGACTTGCAGAAGAAGATGGTTGGGTGAAGGAGATGACAGGCTTGGACAAGTGACTAAGAGCCACAGGAGACTGTGAACTATAAATGGGTCTAATTTGGGATTAGGCAGATTGGTAGAACAGAACTTTGTAGCTGCTTTCCTTTGGGTTGGGGGGTGGGATTGAAATGAAGGAAACAAATGGGTACTTTACGAAGCACAAGACACTTGCGCTGCAAGGGAACACAATGACCAAATTCATTAAAAAGATCTGGCGAGATATAACAATATTTTCATTATTTACATGTGTAACAATGTAAGCCTTAGCACAAAACCTCTGTTATATCTACCCTCTTTTGTTTTCCAACCATGAATTTTATTTTGTAAATACATTCAAAGGGTGATTTTTTTTTAAATGAAGTGCAAGCATGAGTTCACTTTAAAAACTGCAAAAATAAGGAAATAAAAGTGTTCTGGCTTTCCCAGCTTCTCCAAATAAAAGTTACTCTAGTTACTCCTAAATCAGGACTTCTTTCAAAGTAATCAGCAAGATTGCTTTTTAACAGAAAACAGTGTAAAATCTAATGTTAGTTCTTTTGTTGTCAGCCAAATCAAGTAAGCAAACACCTCCTAAAAATTTAAATTCTCTGTTGACTCAACCGCTACCATTCCTGCAGGGAAAACAAGATTTCATCTGACTTACTAGTAGTAACCGCCACAGAAAAATAACCACACCCAACCCTTAGTTTTCCAATAAGGCCCTCTTTGCTGGCCTCAGTAGACCCCCTCCCCAATTGTGATCCTTGTCCCCACCCCCAGCTCCAAATTGTAAATTTGCCTGGCAGAGAGATTACAATAGCAAGAGAACTAGGAGACAAGAAAGCAAATTGTGGTTTCTTGTTTTCATTCTTTTCCTTCTTTCTGTTTAATAAACAGGGTCTTTTTCAGATTTCACAAATCAAAATGATTGTGATTTTTAGTAGGATTTGGTGTTTAAAATAATGCAACCCAATACATGGCCATCTGGCTGGACTTGATTTATGAAAGTGACACAGGGTCTGACGGAAAGAAATAACTTCCTTGTGGCTCTCACAGTTTGGGGGTGGTTTTTAACCCCTGCATGATATCATAAGGAGAGGGAGTGAAGATGAGAGAAGGCAAAAAGTGACAGCTAAATGAGATTAAAAGAAAATTAGTTTACAAAATCATTGCTCTATCACCCCTACCTTTTTTTTCTTCTCCTTCTAAAAAAGTTCAATATGAAAGGACTCAAGTTAGAGCCTTAAGCATCTTTAGTATTCAGTACCTAAGGCACAACACTTTCATTTTCCCACGCTGTAAATATTAATACACTAACTTGATCAATCTGACCACTCTGCAGGTATAATCAAGAGTGATCAGAACCCCAGCATTCATGAAGAAGTTATAGAATCACACAGAAATGAGAACTTTAAGTCTGAGCTGGAGGGTGTTGTGGTGTGGAATAGCAGGATTTTTAAAACTACATTCTTTCATTACAAAAACAATTTCAAAACACCCTACCCCAACAAAAAAAAAGCTTCCTAATGTAAACTTAGTTCCACAGAGCAATTAATGGGAAACAATAAATATAAAAGATGTTTTGGTCTTTCAAACTATTCTTCCCACTATTAGCCCTTAGGAGAGGAGGAAGGGGACTGTAACATGGTGTGTGTGTGTGTGTGTGTGTGTGTGTGTGTGTGTGTGTGTGTGTGTGTGTTGGGGAGGACTAGAGGGCAAAGAGACTAAACTTGAAGGGGCTCTGTACTAATCATTAGTAATCAGTTGGCAAATTTCAACTGCTGATGCAGTCTGATCTGATAAAGATGATAAAGGACACAGGTTTCTTCAAGGAAAGGGTATCATGGAGACAATCTTACCTACAACCACACACTAACATTAAGGGAGAGAAAAACACTGCAAAAATTACGGATTAACAAGGACTGACTATTAGGTTAAATTACTAGAAGTTTCTGTCGCTTTTTCTAGATTTCCAGATAGACCTCAGTTGGGGCAGGTTCCACTTTTCTCAGCTCTATCACTGCAAGATTTGCATTTAAACAATTTTTTCCCCCTAAAGAACTCTTTTCTTCCCACACAGGGTGTATGCATCAGACACAGACTATTTCATTCTAACAAATTTATTTTCTCGATCAGCTCTTACGGAGTCACTACTCAAATTAAATTACAATCAAATGATCACATCAAAAGATACCCTTATTACCTAACAAATGTCCATATTTTCATTTCATTTTGATTTGTGCTCGTCTGAAAAAAACACGTAATACAAGATCTGGGGAAAAATAAATTACCGTTTTGCAGCAGTTCATAAGTATTCTGAATAAAATATTAAAAGAAGTCATTTAATGAAAATATAAAGCAAATATTTTTAGATCAACAATGGATCTAACAATTCTCTATTGCCGTCTTTTGAAAAGTCTGTTTATTAAAACCTACCAAAAACACTGCTTGGAAATGGCAGTATTATATAATCACATCCACGGCACCCATTCAATCAAAGTTGGCAACGGATTGAGGAGAGAAGTCCAGACAAGTGCAGAGGCTGGTGCTTAAGTCTTTCTAAATTCCTTTATCTGAATCAGTCCAGAAATAAAAAATAAAAATATTAATAAAAAAAATATTAGCGGTTGGATCTGTAGGCATCGTCCCCCGGAAAGGCAGCCATGGAGCCAGGCCTGGGGGCCGGCCTCGCTATGCGCCCAGTTCACTTGCTCGCGCCCCTGCTCGGTCAGCCTAAGCCCTCCGTGGCTGGCGACCCTCTTCCGGGCCCAGCCCTCTGCTCTTTTGTGATGCTTTTCTTTCCAAGATTATTTGGACGATACTTCTTTTGGCGTTGCTATTCAGTCTGTTCATTTCAGAAGCTGTGGATTATTATTTTTTCTTCTTGTTTTCTTTGCTTCAGCCTCGCCCCCCCAGCCCCCCTTCTTTCCATTTCACGGTCGATTTGTTTGTCCCCAAATGACTTTAATATGACCAAGAAAAACAGGGTCCCAGAGCACAGAGTCATCCCCTGGTAAATCCGGTGCCTCTGCTGCTTTGCAGGTGGCTCCCAGGAAAGTATGCTTCTGAGAACCGTCGTGGGCAGCCCTTGTTGGCAGGAGGGCATGGAGGGGAGGCTAGGCGCTTCTTTATTTGAGACTAGAGGATGCGGCGTTGGCGGTGTCCCCCGTGGAGCGGTGGGGAAACCGCACGCGTGCAGTTTTGGACCCCCAGGAATCTTCACCCTTGTTTAAAAGCAGAAACGAAAACGGAAACGAAACACCACCACGGTATAATTGCGATTTTCTTTCTTTCTTTCTTTCTTTCTTTCTTTCTTTCTTTCTTTCTTTCTTTCTCTTTCTTTCTGTCTTCTTTCCTTCCTTCCGTGATCTATGAATATAAAAGTCTGGGTACTTCGGGTATGCGTTCCCCCCTCTTTCCTTGGATTAAACACACACACACACACACACACACTCACACACACACACTCTCTCACACACACACACACACATACACACACGTCTCCTTGGTCCGTCTCTCTCTCTTTTTTCCCCTCCGAAGGGCGAGCGTGGCCGGCTGTGGGCTCAGAGCAGGGCAGCGGGCCAGGGGCGGGCTCCGCTGGCTGCGGCGGTGGCGGTGGCGGCGGCGGCGGCGGCGGCAGCGGCGGCGGCGGCGGCGGCGGCGGCTGTGGCGGGCGGTGGAGGCTGCGGGCAGCGGCGGCCCTCGAGGGGGCGCGGCAGCCCCCCCGACCTCACTGCACACTCGTCGGCAGCCCGTGGTGAGGCGGTGGCGTGTCAGCGCTCACAGTGCCCACCTGTGAGTAGACGTCGTCGGGCGTCTGCTGCTGGATGCCGGGCGGCGTCATGCGCTTCTCCTTCTGGCGCCGGTTGCAGAACCACACCCGCACCACCTCCTTCTCCAGCTGCAGGCTGTCGGCCAGGTTGGTGATCTCCTGCGCCGAGGGCTTGGGGCACTTGAGAAAGTGGCTCTCGAGCGCGCCCTTGACGCTCACCTCGATGGACGTCCGCTTCTTGCGCTTGCGGCCTTGCGCCGCGATCTTGTCGATGCTCGTGGGGCTGCCGGTGCTCGAGTCCGCCTCCTCCAGCCACTTGTTCAGCAGTGGCTTGAGCTTGCACATGTTCTTGAAGCTCAGCTGCAGGGCCTCGAAGCGGCAGATGGTGGTCTGCGAGAACACGTTGCCGTAGAGAGTGCCCAGCGCCAGCCCCACGTCGGCCTGCGTGAAGCCCAGCTTGATGCGCCGCTGCTTGAACTGCTTGGCGAACTGCTCCAGGTCGTCGGACGTCGGCGTGTCCTCGTCCGAGTGCGGGTCGTGGCTGTTGAGGCCAGGCCCCGCGCCGCCGCCGCCGTGGTGCGGCGGCCCCTGCGCGTGGTGCGGGTGCGGCGGGTGCGGGTGCGCGTGGTGGTGGTGGTGGTGGTGGTGCTCGGCCAGCTCGGGAGTGTCCCCGCGCACCAGCCCCGGGTGCACCAGGCTCTGGGCGCCGCCGCCCGCGCCGCCGCCGCCGCCGCCCGCGCCCGGGGGCGCGCTCAGCATGCCGTTCACCGTGAAGCCCCCGGGTTGCGAGTAGAGCAGGCTCTGCGGCGGCGGCTGCTGGCCGCCGGCCATGGACGGGAGGTGCGCGGCGGCGGCGGCGGCGGCGGCGGCAGCGGCGGCGGCGGCGGCGGCGCCCCAGCCTCCCGGGTGGCCCTGGTGCGGCGGCGGCGGCGGCGGCCCGAGGTGCGGCGGCCCGCGGTGGTGCAGCGCGGTGCCCGCGTGCAGGTCGTCACGCCCGGCGCCGCCCTTCACGTCGGGGCCCTGCGGCGGCGGCGGCGGCGGCGGCGGCTGCTGGGGGCTGCCGGCCATGCCCACGGCGCTGCCCGACCACGGCGAGCTGGCCTCCACGGCGGCGGCGGCGGCAGCGGCGGCGGCGGCGGCGGCGTGGGGCAGGGCCGTGACCCACTGGTGTGCGTGGCTCAGCATATGGCCGCCGTTGCTGGCGGCCATGGCCCCCTGCATGAAGTCGCTCTGGACCATCTTGACCGAGGCAGGGTCCCCGCGGTAGGCGCCCGAGGTCACGGCGGCGCTGCCGGGCTGCATGCCGCCGCCGCCGCCCCCCGCGCCGCCGCCGCCGCCGCCGCCGCCACCGCCGCCGCCGCCGCCGCCGCCGCCGGCGCCCGCGGCGTCCGAGTGCACAATGGAGCCGGCCGCCAGCAGGCTGTTCCCCGGCAGGTAGGGGTTAGAAGCCGCCGTGGCCATGCCGCTCCGCTCCCGCCACCCCACCGCCGCCACCACCGCCGCCGCGGCCGCGGCCGCGGCCGCCGCCGCCGCCGCCGCCGCGCACCCCCCTCCCCCCCGCCGCCGCCCGCCTCCGCCCCCCCCCGCTTCCCCCGCCCCCGCCCCGGGCCCCGGCCTGCCCCGCAGCCTGCGCCGCCGCCTCCGCCCGAGCCGCCGCCGCCCCCGCCGCCGCCGCCCCCGCCGCCGCGGCTCCCGGCTGCAGCTGCAAGGCCGCTCGGCAGGGCGCGGGGGTCGCCGGCCCGCCTCGGTCAGCGACAGCCGCCGCAGCCGCCGCCGCCGCACCAACAGCGCTCTGGGGAGGGGGGCTCGCTTCCCGGGGCGCGCTCCGTGGCCGCCCCCTTCAGGGGGGGTCGGAGCCGCCCCCCAGCCCCTGCGCGAGCCGCTAGCTCCAGCAGGGCGCGCCGGGCGGGGCGCGGGCCTGCGCTGGGACGGTGTGGCCGGGCGCGCCGGCCCCGCGGCTCCGTGCTCCCCGGGGCGCGCGCGGGCTCGGTCCACCTGCTCAGCGAAGAGTTGCCCCGCGACAACAAAGGACGCAGCCGCTCCTGCTCCTCCCGGGCCAAACTACGGCTGGCCGCGGGCCGGCTCCGTGCCTGCCCCGGCGCGCGCTGCTCTCTCCCGCCGCTCAGGCACGCATCTCACGCGCTGCCCCTGCGAGTAGTCAAACTTTTCCAGTCCTCCAGGAGTGGTGCTGCGGGCTGCTCGCGGGCGCTGAGAGGAGAGGCTGGCTCCTTGCTCTCCCCCTGCGATCCTCTCGTCTCAAGTTTTGTGCAGTCCTAGGAAAACTTCTTGCGATGGTGCATTGCTCAGAAGTTGCTATTGCCGGAGCTCCGGGTTGCCTCTGAAACAAGAGTCCTTTTTCATTCTCCTCGCAACAGTCACAGTCTGATGCGACATCTTTCCTTTTGGGCAGAAATTAGGAAACAAATATAACAAGGAGGAAAAAAATTTTTTTTGAACAGGAAGGGGGGGAAGGTCGAATTGCCGTTACCTTGTTGCAGACAGTTGGGGTTGGTGTTTTAATTTTTTCCCAGCGGTTGTCTGGAGGAGGAGGAAGAAGAGTGCATTGGTGGAGGTGGCAGTGTGTGTGTGCATATAGGGGATCCTTGATTCACAACCAACTCCAAGTGGGCACGTTGCACGGCTCCAAGAATGCCCCGACGGCGCTGGCGCTGGCCGTGCCGGAGCAGAGTTGCTGTGTCCTAGTCCGCGCTCGCTCTCCCTCTCTCACTTTCCCCTCCTCTCTCGCTCTCTTTCTGTTTTTTTTTCCCTCTCTCTCTCTCCCTCTCTCCCCTGCGCTCGCTCACTCTCCCTCTCTCGCCAGCCCGCTCTCACTCGGATCTGACAGTTCGCTCTCTGTCCCTCCCTCTCTGAGCGGGGACTGTCGAATGTTTACCCTCCGCCGAGAGCGCGCACCCACCACCACACTTTCCCAAATACAAGGAAGTCGAGCACCAGAGCCCCCGCTGATTGGCTACCCGCTGGGTGATTGGCAGGCCCGGAATGACTGGCTCAGGACTCGAGGCCCCCCTTCCGGCCGTTCCGATTGGTTGCTTTTTAATTTAGGCAGCGCGTCGTAGAAGCTGGAAATCTGCCGTCCACCCCCCGCCCCCCAGCCTCCCTCCCCCTGGCCACTTTCTCCTCCCCGCTCCTCCCCCGCCACCCCCTCCGCCACATCTTAACTCTTAGTGTCCGGCCAAGCTGTTGGCGTTCGCGCGGAGGCTCAGAGCATTCGCAATAGGTCTGGGAGCGGGGAAGTGGGGGGGGGGGGGGGAGGAGGGGAAAAAGGGAGGGAGGGAGGGAGGGATGGGAGAAATGGAGGAGGGGGGAGAATAAGGAGAATGAAGAGGGAGAAAATCATGAAAAATAGCAACCTACCACTCCACCTAGTGCTGCGTTTGGTGACCGCCCTCCTCGCGCCCCCTCCTCCCCACAAACCCCCCCTCCATCCCACCCCGCCCCCACCCCCAGTGCCAGAGATTTGTAAAGCTCGCGTCTTTGATGCACTGTATACGCTAATACCTATAGGCAGAGGTGTCTGTTCCCAGTGGTTTTAAAGTTTCCTTTCTTCTTCACCAGCGGGCCCTGGTCTCAGTCTCGGCGGCGGCGGCGGACAGGGGGAGCTCCTGTAGCTCAGAGCCCGGGTCGCCGCCACGCTCCTTGGAAAGACGCCACCGCAACTTTCCGAGGCCGCTTCGCGCCGGCGGCGTCCCCCTTTGTTTAAGTGCTCGGATGCCATCGTCTGGGAGCGCTGCAGCCCGAGACCCGCGCGCCGTCCGCGCGTGCGAGACCCACCGCTCGCCGCCGCCGAGGTTCCTCTCCCCCACCCACTCCGCGCCGGCTCCCGCCCTCCCCCACCCCCGGGATTCCAACGAGCAGCGTGTTTGCCCTTGTGAGTTTGGAGGGTGCCGGTCAGCGGAGTCAGGAGGTGTGTTTGAAAAGCAATCAGCCCGACCTTGCCCCATAGCTACATCGTAAGTGTATCCCGCCCGGGCGGTTGCAGGCCTTCGGGGCGCAGTCGGCTCCGAAAGCCGGGATCCCGCTGCCGCCGCCGCCGCCGCCGCCGCCGGCAGGCGTGCGCAGACCCTCGCAACTCGAGCGACGCTTATTTCAGCGCTGCGGGAATTTGGCGCAGACACTCGCGACTCGGCGACGCTTATTCCAGCGTTGCAGTTGTGAGCGCCGGGGCGGCGCGAGCTCGCTCTTCTTTAGGCACGGTGCTGCTTTTTCTTTCTTTCCCGTCTCGGATGCCTTTGACGAGTGCATGAGCTGGCCTCGATTTCTGGGCCCCAGCAAGCCCGAAAGGGTTAAGGGGGGACGGAAGGCGCGAGGGGGGCAGGGGTGGCGGGAGGCGGGGGGGGGGGCGGTTGGGGGATGCGGCCAAGCGGAAAAGCTACACAGAAGAACCTCGGCGAACCAAGAAAAAAGAGAAAGTGGCAACGAAAACAAGGGCAAATTGAACCCTCCTTGGGGATTTCCAATGAGCTACCCCAACTCGGACCTTGCGTAAATGTACCGTCCCTGCTGCGTGTGCTTGTGCGCGCACCCCGCACGCATCGCGGCGCCCAGTCGTGGGTTCGGCGACACCGGTCGCACGGGGGGCCGCCCTGGAAGTGGCCGGCGCGCCACCCGCGGGTTCCGGTGAAACTGGGAACCTAGCCGCCTTTCGTTGCCACGCATGGTTCGGATGCCGGGTGCGGCCGGGCGAGCTCTGCGGAAAGCCGGACCTCTGTGGCCCAGCCGCAGCCACGTAACCTGTGCGTGGCCTCCAGAGTAGTCGTGCCCGGGGAATTTATGTAGGATCTCGTCCAGATCCCGCCTGCCCGCCGGGTGAAAGTCACCACCGTGGGTAGGTTTTAGCAAAGCCACGTAGGCGAAGGCAGCGGAGGAAAAAGCAGCGGTAGCCTGACCCCGGACAGAAGGGATTTCCCCCTCCGCGTGCCCCCAAGGTGCCTCTTTATATTTACAAATGCATTTATGTATCTATACAAGATGAAACACAGATTTCATTGAGGCAATCTGAGATCTCCAGGTGCAGACGTTTGAAGAGTCGCTGCCAAGCACCCCATGTTTTCTTTTCCTGCCGATTTCGCTTGGATCCGACTCAAAAAACCGAGAGAGTCTCGTGGTTTTGTTTACACTGAATGGGGCGCATAGGAACGGAGCCACGGGGCCGCCTTTCATTAATATACAGTGAGGATTTTGTCTAAATTACGGCTATGAATTTCACAGTGCACGCTTTCAAAAGCAGTCTCAGGTGGCCGCCTGGAACGCGATCGTGCCTTCGCGAACAGATCCACTTTCTTCCTTTCTGTTCAAGGAGGGTGTGTGCGCTTTCGGGGAAGCCCCCGGAAAAACGAGGCGCTCCTCGAGAACAGAAATGCCCGTTTGTGCCGAGGTCTGCGGGCTCGGCGCTCACCCCTTTCCCAGTACTTAGTTCTCTAGGCGCTCCTCAACCTCCCCGCCCTCCCCCACCAGCCCCACCCCATTCTCCCCCTCCCTTTGGGGAGTGTGATTGTTTTGTCTGGTAAAAAAATCCAAAGTATATAACAAGGGGAGAACAGTTAGTGCTGATTTTCATTTGCATACATTTTCATATATTTTGGTGAAAATAATAGACTAGTGGAGAGCTGGGCTTAGAGGACTCAGCGTAAGGGGAAGCTTAAGGACGCGTCGGTTCTGGGGAAGTTGAGAATATGCCTTCCCCCCGCCCCCCGTCACCCTGTTTAAAACAATAAAACCTCCTTTATTTTAAAATCTAACCCTGGAAGTTTGCTCGGTAAGTGTTTTTTGGTTTTTTTAAAAAAAATTTCCTTTCCCTGCTTTTTCTCTTTCTCGCCCTCCTTTCCGGTTTATTTACGCTCCTGTAGGTTTGGGGAGCTTATTGTAGTGGCTGGAGACGAGAGAAGGTTCGCAGAGCAACTGCTCTGTAGGAGGGAAGCGAAAGTGTGTTGGGGTTGGGAAGAACAAGTACCTAAACCCGGCTCAAACCTTCCGTGTAACCGGTGGACTCATTCCAAAGCTCGCCACAGCAAGACACTTTACTGTGGGGCTGGAGGAGCTGGGGGAGAGGGAGGAGAGTGTTATTCATTTCTCATGGCTGATTGTGAAGGGGAGAAAGTCGGAGAGGAGAAAGTATGCAGTCTGAAACATATTTCTTGTTTGTTTGTTTTTTTTAATTATTATTATTTTTTTGCCCTGGGTGGTCAGGACTAGAGCGGGGAAGAAATCTCCCTACTGTAGCCAGTGGTTGTTGTGTTGGAGAAGTGTGTGTACTGGGCCTGGGCTGGGGGTAGGGGGTTCCTGCTGAGAGCAGGGGGGATGGAGTGCTGCGGAGGGGGCTTGGCAAAGGGCGGAAGAGAGTTGGAGAAGGAGGAAGGGAGGCGGGGGCGGCAGGAAGGCCTGGCACCCGGGTGAATGCGGCGTCCGGCTGGGGCAGGCGGTCACTTGCAGCCTCCCAGCTCCATGGAAGAAAGTCCACCAGAAAGCGGGGGATTCATCACCGCTAAGCAGACCATCCTACACTTTATTCCCAAGGGAGACTGGAGCCTTCATGTTACAAACTAGAGGTGACTGTTTTTCACTTTTGACTGCCAGTGACCCTTCCCTCCTCAATTGCTGTTTTTTTTTCAATTTTTTAAAAAAGAGGGGTGCGGTTAGATAAACGTGGAGGAAAAGAGCTAGGCCAAATCTAACACTGCCGCCCCCCCCCCGCACCCCAACACTTTACCTTATTGAAATAAGGTGGAGAAAATTCTAAAAGATTCTCAGTTTTGTTCTTTGCCAAATTTGGGGTGAAGAGGGGGTGGAATCAAAAGGCTGGATATCTACTGCTGGTGGGTAGCCAATACGCCTTGCAACTAAAAATCTGTAATTTCTTGGAAAGAGTTTGTGCCATATCAAGGAAATGGCTTGTAAGGAGGGAGGAAGAGATTTAGTTGGGGAGGGGGTAGGAACCCCCAGTTTTCCACCCCTTGTTTACATGCTTGTCAGCATCGCTTTTGACTGGGGTTAACTCTCTGTGCTCCATTGGACCAGATGCCATATAGAGCTGCTCCCTGAAGATCATTTGTTTCCTTGATGGGGAACATTTCTGAGCAGAGCATATTGGTTGCCATAGAGAAAGAAATAAAAGGAAGAACAGTAGTCACATTAAGCTATATGTTTGTGCACTGGGCTTTAGATAAAAGGACCTTGGTTCAGTCACAGAGAAGCAGTCAAACTTGAGGTAGCTAGTGCCACTAAAACTAGCTTTATTTTGTTTTGGACTTTTACAGTTGAAACATATAAACTAATTTTATTGGTTGTTGTTAATTTTATATGACACGGTTTACTGAACAAAATAAACTTTGAAAATGCCCAAGAGTCGCACCATTGACTTGTCAGCAGGGGGCGCACTGACTCGCTTTAGAAACTACTGGGTAAAATGTTTTAAAAAGCAAATCTGCGGCTCCAAACTTGCCCAAGGATCTAACATCCCTACCTTTTTATGCATATTCACAATGTGGACTGGATTCATTGCATAAAAGGTTTAAACCAGGAGAACAATTACCTCCCCATTTACCACCAACCTGTGATCGTGAAAAGGACCCTGAAAAATTTACAGTTCAAAGTGTTCATCCATTACTCTCAGTGAGATGTATATGGGGTTGGAAAAAGAATTGGTCAGTGAAAGTGAAAACACTGTACAAATTAGGAAGTATATATAATAGTACTGATACTAAAGAAGCTGCCTTTCTAGATTTATTGCTTTTTACAACAGAGAAGAAAACAAAAGCGCTTTACAAGGGATTATCTATTAAATCATGAATATTATTTAGCTCAACAAACGTTTGAACTTCTAAATAAAACCCAAACTCCAGATCCAGGATCTCTTTTTACTCTGACCTTTAATGGCAACTGTAATCCTTGATAGGGTTCATGATCTTAGGAAGATTTTGTTTTTATCTTTGAAGGACTTCCGCTGAGGGAAGAGAAGGTACAGAGTGAGGGGAACTGTGGGCTGGAAACTTGTAGGTCCAATTTTGCTTAGCACCGTGGAAGAAAACAGAGAACAAGGTTTTCACCTGGAATATTTTTAGGTGCTACCAATGAAGACAAACTTCATTGTGGAAAACGGTGGAAAAGTATACTCTAGGAAGATTCTAGGAAGTTTCCTAGAATGGTAAAGGGCAAATCCTGGCTGGTTGTGAGGACTTAGTTTTTCCTTAGCAGTCTCTTTCCCAGGAGACGTAGTGAAGCTTTCTTGACCAAGGGAAGCCTTGAAGGGCTGGAAAGGAGAAGCTGCTTTCTGTGGCTCAGATATGAAACATATCTTCGAGTGTGTCATGGAGCCTGCCCAGATGGGGGACATCTCCCCAAGACAACCCTGTTCTCCCTATGCAAGAGGAGGAAAAGACCCCATATTCTGCTTTATTCACCTCCTAGAGCTGATCATGCTCTAGTCCATGACAAGTTTTATCCTGAAATTAAACTTTTTGAAAAATCAGATTAAATGGTATTTAATTCACAAAGGTTAGAAGATTATGGGAATAACATAAGCAGAGGTGACAGCCTAAAATTATTTAAATCCTACGATTTTCATCTGGGAGCTTTTCCATTCAGAGGCACGAAATGTACTGTCAGGTTTGTCTAATTTTTTTAAAAAAGTGGAAAATTGAGGAAAGTGTCATTTGAACCCAAACTTTCATTTTTCTCCTTCTTCTTTAGCTCTCTGAATATTTCAGACAAAAGACTTCTGGGGCAGATCTACATTGCCCATACGACTACCTCAAAATTCTGGCTTAATTTGTGTGCCTGGGGCCAGTAAATGTATTTTAAAATTATAAATGAAAAGGGAAACTTTTTATATTCAGCAAGTCAGCTTGCAAAAACACTACTTAAGCAATTATTGTATCTATTTAGAGTATCTCTCTCTCTCTGTCTCTTTCTTTTAATGAGATCTGTGATTTTTACTATCTTGGCTCTGACTTACTTTCCAATTTGCTGGGGTTGTTTAAAAAAGTAAGAAAAAATTTTTGCTTCTCTTGACATCTATAGTCTTAGGCCACCTCAAGTCAAGAAAACAGAAAATAATATTTCTGCTTAAAGCAACAAGTTCATTTTAGAGCAGATATGGTACAAAACCCACGTTATTATTCTGTAGTGATTTGGAGGTGAACATGTGCAGGCTGGATGTGCAAAGATCCAAAGTACAAGCAGAGCTGCAGATTTTTTTTTTATTGTTAGGGATGGCAAAATTTCCTTCTTTTTTTCAGAGAATGAAGAACATTACCTGGGTCAAATGTGCAAAATACAAAGTGGATATAGACACCTTTGCGCTCAGTTGAGAGTAAGGTGTTTAGCTGCCCAAACAGCACAAAAGCAAATTTGCCTTAGCATGTACGACATAAAATATTAATTCATACTAATTTTAAAATATGTATGTTGGGGCATATTCACAGTCCACAGTCCACACAGGGTGCTACAAAGGAAGGAGCTCTTCAATGGATAGCTTTGGAAAGGAAATAAGGAATTGTTGTTTGGACAGTGGTTTCTTGTTTTTGGTAAGTTTTTTTTTTTTAAGTTTATGGATGGTACCACTACCCCCATGCCTTCGTTATCAGTTTGGCAGTTGATTTAGTTGATGTACAGAAAATGAAGCAAATATAGTTTCTTAGAATGGTTGGAAGGAGAATGATGAATTCTGACCCTATGATTTCTCACCCTAAAGTAACAAGCTTTCTTTTTGATGCTGATAGGACAGCTTTAAACTCCAGGCTATTTCAGATTGTGGACTCTAAGTGAAGTTACTAATCAAGAGCATACTTTTAAAATGACCCGTTTCCAGCACTGCGCTCACTCAGGTTGCTTCTGTGCACCTGACACTTCTAGCAAAGAAAGCTGCCAAATGGCGTGGGAAGTCTTGGTGGCAGGCACTAAGTGAGGGATCGTTCTTGCCTGCCCCTTTAGCTGCTCCCCTGGCTCCCCCCCCCCCACCACCACGCATCGCACATAGTTAAGTGGTCTTCAAAGTCTTCAAATTTAAACTCACAGGGTAGGGAACAGAGAGCTCAGATTGACCAGGGTGATACGGGAATTTATTAACAAAAACCTGAGAGAACAATGTTCCAAGGTCAATTTGTGTGTGTGTGTGTGTGTGTGAACAACAAAGCCCAGATATATTAATTCGGCTTCACCAGAGGGTGGATTGGATTTTTGGATTTTGTGCTCCTAACAGAATTGAATTCTCCATCTTCCCTTCCCCAAACATTTCCTACATGGCACCCCTTTTTTTGGGTTGAAACCAAGTAACTGAATAAGAGTTATTGTGGTGTACCAGAAAACAATTCTTTCGGTTTTGGTGAGAGAAACATCTTCTTTCTCCTTTTTCTTTTCTTTCTTCTTTTTTTTTTTTAAAAAAAACTTATTTTGTCTGTAAAGCTGGATGCAGATTGCTGCTGATCTTTCAGACAGGACAGCTTTTTTTTTTTTTTTGGCTTTCTCCCTAATAGGTCCTAAAGTGGTGTCTTCTCTCCTATGAATGTCAAAGCTCCCAGCACTTCACTGCCCTGCTCCCTCCCATAGCCCACCCACGAACCAAGGAGGGGGGATCTTCAAGAATGTGTGACCATTGTTCCTTTTTAAGTACAGTGCCAATATGCGCTGATATTTGATACTTTAAATACTCCCGATCTGCAGCAATACCCTTCTCCTGAGGAAGTATGAATGGCCTTGCTCACTTCATGCAGCTCAGATGAAAAGTCCCCAATTAAAAGTTACTCCTGGGCTATTGCTCTGGGCACCCACCCCGCCTCTCCAGTTTCCTGTAGGGAGACTGGTTAGCTTGGTAAAACTGAGGGCAGGACCCCAGGCTCGCAGCGACAAAAGTCAGATCCTCATTGAATATTATCGGATGCAAAATGCCCCCTTAAGTCAGTGTATGAATTGTCCAAAGGAGAAGTCAGCAAAACTTTACTTAGAAAACATGTCTTTAAATATCCTAATTGGAACACGAAGATCTCATGGCGGGGTCTGGCAAAAGATTTCTTTCTAGAATGAGAAAGTCAGCTTGGAACTTTTGCTCCAAAGGTGCCCTCTCGGGAATGCCGTCGCTCCGGGTCTCTTCTCTGCACGCTCCCCACCCCCCGCCCCGCCCCCAGGGATTTGTGGTCTTCATAGGCAAGTTCTCCTTGAATAGGCGGCGACTTGAGGGGGCCTAGGGCCAAGGCCCGATTCTTTAGTCTGAATTTTATTTTATTTCTCGCACGGTTTGCATAATAAACTTAAAAGGATCCCATTACTTCCCTTTCTCCCCGAGCACTGCCCTGTAAGCTCTTTCGGGCGGCTATTTGAACACCCAGAACGGGTTTCAGAAGTCGAATTAGCATTGCTTTTCTTTGGAAAAGAAAAATGGAAAGAGCTTTAAAAAAAAAAGCACTGGGAAAAGAGGATAAGGTAAAAGAAATCAGTTAGACACAGAAGCTGGAAAAGAGGAGATGGGACACAGGGGAGTAGAGAGGGAGCTGGGGTCGCAGGGCCACGAAGAGAAAAAAGCCCAGGCACCCTCAAAGGTCACAGTTAGCCGCGCGTGGCCCAGAAAAAAATCGAGTGCGAGTCGCACCTCATCTTTGCGGCCTCACGCCCGCGCCGCGGTGGGAGCGCAGATTCGGAGCTCCGTGTCGCCCGCTCGCCTTTGTCACCGGCTGGGAGCGCGGACGCGGGCTCCCGCGGTGGGCTTTGTTCGGGCGGAGCAGGGCAGGACCCCTCACCCCGCGGTGTTCCTCCCTCCCCGGGCTGCGGACGGTGGGGGTTGGGACAGGGCGACAGGGACAGGCTCCAGAGGAGACCACAGGAGCCCGACTCTGGGACTTTCAAGTTCCTCCGTTCCTAGGCGTAACTGAGCTGCTTTCCCTTCGCCGGGGCTGCGCGGGACCTGGGAGAAGCGGGAAGGGGGCGCCCGCCTTCAGCCTACAGTCGGTCGCGGGGCAGCTCATTGCCCGCGCTCGCGGCGGCTTGCATGCATGCACGCATATGTTTGTCTGCATATGCAGTGTCTGCATGCACGCGTATGTATGCATGCATATAAGTGTCTACATGCACGCATATGTGCTTATGCATGTGCAATGTCTGCATGCACGCCTCTGTGCGTATGCATAAGCAGTGATTGCATGCAAGCATACGTATGGACGCACATGCATTGCATATGCAGTGTATGCATGCACGCGGGCTTGCATGAATGCAGGAGAAGGACCTTGCATTTGATCCCGCGTTCTAGGTTTCCGGCCGAGGGTTTGGCAGCTGCCGGGTGCCGAAGGTCGGTGCTCCCTTCTCCCCCAAGATCTGCATTCGAGGTGATCGGGGGCCGCGGGTGGGCGCTGTGGGCCCACCCTGCATCCTGGGGCCGCTCACGGAGAGCGAGCAGACCCTGCAGCGGAGGCCTGTGGCGGGGGACAAAGAGGCAGACACTCGGAGCGGGCAGAGGGCAGACGCGCACGTGCGCCCACGCGCGCCCCCCCCGCGGCCTCTCCCCGGAGCCTCCTAGCCGGAGTCCTGGGCTGCGCATCTGCCAAGTGGGTCTCTCGCGGAGCCCGCGCCCGCCTCCAGCCTCTGCGTTCCGCAAACGTCGTGTGAATAGGTGTCACCCTCTCCACAGCCCGCCGCCCCCCAAGGTGTGGGCAGATTGCAAGAGTTGCAGCTCGGTTATTGTTTGTCAAACAGGCCCTTTCTCCGGCGAGAGGGGCGAGGGGGCATGTGGCGGAGCCTGGGCGAGGAGCACATTAATCAAAGCATTATTTCCCCAGAGAAGCCGAGCACAAATGAGAGTAAATCCTAATAAAATTGGATCGCGAGGCAATGGCGCGCTTGAAGTCATCTGCGCGGCTCTGAGCTAACTCTCAAATTTCGGAGACGTGGCTCTTGAAAGAGCCCGCGCGTCCGGGGCCTTGGCACCGCCGCGGGGGTGCGGATCCGGCCTGGAGCACGGTCGCCGCGCACGGCTTGGCTCAACTCGCGGCGGGAGACCGGGGCCCAGACACCTCGGAGAGCGGAGAGGCGGTTTTCATACCATCCGCTGCGCTCAGGAAGCACCTTGGTCGGGCGCCCACCCCCTGGTGCGTCCGAGGGCCGGATCGCGAGCCCCTCGGGGCTTCTGCCGGGCCACAGCGGCCCCCGCTTCCCTTCTTGGGCCAATCCGCCTGGTGGCCACGGCCCCGTGGGTGGTGCCCCCGCACGGGAAGGCGAGCGCATCCATCCTGAATCCTGGGACTCCGGCCCGGATCCGCCGCGCTCGTGGGGCCATTTCTTGGGCGGCCCGGGCTCCCTGCGGCCAGGGAAGGGGATGCTTTTGCGGGGCACTGCTGGGGCAGCCGAAGGCGCAGGTCGCCAGCTACACTTAGGGCGCTTTCGGACGTCCGCTCCGGAAAGCTCGGCCCGCACGGCTCCCATCTTCCCGCGCCCAGGGGCCGAAAGTCTCCACCGTAGGCGCAGCTCTCGCGCTCACCGCCACGACGCCGGTCAGTGGAGCCCTGGCGGGAGGCGGGAAAGCGCGCCGCCCCCGGCCCGCTCGAGGCCTCCTCCAGCGCGGAGACTGGAAAGCGGACCGCGACGCCTCTCGGGCGACCCTTGCGACCGCCCGGTACCAGCGTAGCCGGTGAGCACCGTCTCCCCCCCACCCCTCAACCCCCCACCCCCTCCAGGCTCCGGCCGGCCCTCGGCGAGAGGCGCGCAGACACCCGCCGCGCTGCGGGCGCTGCGCGGGCTCCTCCTCCTCGCGCCGCCAGGCCCGCTGCCCGGCCGCCGTTGGGGTGCGAGCGCCCGTGAGAACGCGCGGGCGCCCCCTGCAGGCCCGCGCCGGGACGGCTCGTCCACGTCCACGCGCGCCCGGCGCACCCAGCCTTGCCTCCCGCGCGAGCTCCGGGCGGCCACGGCACGGAGGGGACGGAGGGGCGAAGGCGCGGAGGGCGGCGAGGGGAGGGGCGCCGCCGCTTCACTCATTCCTCCGTGCGCTCCCAGCACCCCCCGCCCCCCCCCCGCCCGCCCCGGCTCCCCTTGGGCCGACCCCGGCGCCGCACCCTGGCCCCCGTGGGCGCGCGCGCCTCCCTCTGAGCCGTGGGGCTCGCCCCGCAGCGCTGTCCGCCGACCGGGTCAGGGTGTGGCGTGTCTCGGGGTGCGTGTGCGGGGGAAGCGGCGGCGGAACGGCGGGGGTTGCTATTTGGAGCCGGGTGCGTGTGCCGGAGGGTGTGCTTAAGGGCGTGCGTGCGTGGGAGCGCGGGGCAGGAGGCGATCCGAGGGGCGCTGGTTCCCGCCGAACCTTTTGATCCATGAGCTCTGAATCCGCAGCCTTTGAGTTTAGCACCCCCGCCCCCCTCCTTTTCCCACCCTCTCTTCTATCCGAGGGTACCACTCCTTCCTTTAGCCTAACTCCCGCCGAAGGCCAGAGCGGTCCCCCCTTGTGGTCGGGGCAGATTCGCTCAAGGTCCTCGTGCATTGGAGAGCCAGGGTCGGGTTAGACCGGGTAACGAGCTCTGAGCAGTGCCAAGACGCTGCCATCGTACAGCTGCTCCCTAGACGGGGCCTCGCTCACGGGGAAGCCTTGTTGCAGGGCTCTCGAGCTGCTGCCTCGCTGTCTTGGCCTTCGGTGTTGCTTCCTGGAGGTGATTTTCGTTTCTGAAGGGCTTGGGGCCAGGTAGGGCGCCCTAATCAAGCCCTCCTAGGTGCTTTGATGGAGCACTGTCCTGAACCCCTTCCTTCAGGACTCCTTCTTAAGCTTGGGGAAGAAGGGAGGGGACTAAAGGGAAGAAACCCACTTTTCTGCTCTGAAATAATGGAACCCCCCCCTTTCCTCCGACCTAGGAGTCCCCCAGTTTTCAACAAAACAGGGCTGCTGGTGATCGCTCACTAGAAAAAAATAAAAGACTTGCGGAAGAAAACTTTGGCGGAATGAAATTCCTCCTGCTTCAAACATTAACTTGTCCTATCCAGGATGTTGAGGGGAAAACAGGGCAGAGAGAATTCACAAAACAAAACAAAATAAAACAACAAATTCTTCCTTGCATATTTTTCTGTCGCTGGGTCTCTGGACTCAGTCACCAAACAGTAGTTTGGATGACTTGAGATTTAGAGTAATGCAAAAAGAAACTTTATCAGTGCTTTTTTTCCCCCTTTAACTCGAATGCTTTGTTCGAGGACTTAAAAATATTGGATATACTAGTGGCATATATTTTTGTTTCTTGGATTTATCAATGTTCAATGATTTGACCGCTGACCATAAATATAAGCCCTCTGTTCCCGGGGATAATACAATTCACATACACCTCATCACCAAGAAGTGACCCACATCATAAGCCAGTATCTTGATTTAATTTTGGTCACTTTTAAAATAAGATAATTTGGAGGCAGCTAAATTTTTAATAAAGAACACCAGTGGTAAAATGTCAATGTTTAACTAGGTAAGCTTTTGTTTTTAGAATCAAACTTTAGCTGTTCTTTGAATTATTTATCATGCTATTTGCCCATAGGCCTTCCGAAGAGAAGGGGAAGGTGAAGGGGCGGGTATCACTCTAATTTATTTAAAGCATATGTTGGCATGAGATGATGAAATTGGTCTTTTGGAAAATGGTGGCGTGGATAAGCAAATTCTTTCAATAAACACCTTTGAAACTATTAAAAAACTAAAAATAAGAACAACTACCCAGTTTGATAGTAAATAACACTGTTAACTAGAATATTGTATAGCAATGCACAGAAGCTCCTCCTCCTTGAGTATAGTACAGTTTGGTAATATACACATATTTATGCATCATGTAAATATACATATGCACAAGGGTAGATGTTTATGTACATAACATAACAACATATATACATACCCCAACTGAATACATTTACATAGAACATGCCCATGTGTGATGTATCAAACTTCTATGATTAACAATACATTTCATAGCAGATAGTCTTAAAATAAGAAGCTAGAAAACCAGTAAATTTTGGTCTTATTAAAAATAAAATTTCTTTGAATTCTGAAGTGTGCCAACTTTAGGTATCACAGAAATCAGTAACATTACTATTGTAGGCATACATTACCCATTAAAAAGTACTATAAATACAGATAATCTTTCTAACATAAAATTAGAAGAACATCATACTTTCCAGTACACATTTAAAATATTAATCTTCTGTCTAAAGTCAAGTATTCATTGATTCCCCCTTGCAAATTAAATAGTGTTGTTTTAGAGCAGAAATTAACTTGCAGATATGTTTTTAAAAGTGTTTTCATTCTATTATAAAAAAACACTTAAATAGTCTAACTTTATGGGCCTTTACATTCAGCAGTCTAATGAAAATAATTTGAACTATCAAAGTAATTTTGAAGCACATATTTGTACTTGAAATGATCTGTATAGCATGGAATGATATATAACTTATTTTCTTATTAGATAGTATTTTGGATATTTATATTTTCCAAGGTTTTTTTTTGGTTAAAATAAGAATTACAGTTAAAATGAATATATTGGCAGGAGTTCAAATGCTCATTTGTGCTGAACAAATGTTCAGAAATGTTATATCTGAATGTTTTACACTGAAAGCTATTTGTCCTACTTGATAAAGGAATCAGAATAATAAGTTTTGAAATTTTCTTGAAACTCATGATAGAAGGAACTCTTGCACATAATTACAGTTATTTTTATTGACATTATAAACTGTTTATTGCCTTTTATGTTTATGTAAATGTATATTTCTTTACTAATATATATATATATATATATATATAGTCTTTATGGTGGCATTTTCCCCAATTTATTTTAATTCATTTCAGAGAATATTTCTGAAATAGATGCTTTACAAATAGTGTCTAAATATTAGTGATGAGCTTATGAAAATCAGTTTAGCTTTTGAGATTTGTTGATTAATCTCTTTAAAACTTTGAAGTTAAAGTGATGGAAAAACCACAAGAGAAAAAATTTTGAAAGACTGTAACTTGGCAGACAAAACAAAACAATGTTTTACTCTAGAAATAATTTACTGCAAAAATAAGTTAGTATTCTGTTTTATAAAGTTTTCTCAGTGCTATGGCAGAGTATAAGTAGACATAGATTATTCAATAATTAAAAAGTGTACAATGTTCATTCAAAAATTGTTTGAGGAGTTATTTATTATAAAAATGTAAAATAATCTTTTCATCACTTTAAAGGTTTAAAGATTATTAATGAAGTGGGCTAAAAAACTGTACTAGAAGACTCAAGTTACACATAGGGAAAGATTTGTAAGAATAAATAATTTGGCTTTCTGTGGCTTCAAAATAGGCAGAACTATAATATAGCAAATAAAAATCCCCAAAATGCAGTCATCCAAGATTCAATTTCATTAAAAAATTTGGCAGTTAAGGAAAAGAAAGAAAAATGCTTATTAAATCAGGGCAACTATAAAATGTTGACAGATCTCAAGTTTCATATCCAACTAGGCTCTTAGAAAACTGCTAGAATATTGGTAGAGTACAAGTTACTCTGTCAAACCATTTTTTCATGGTAAATTATCTTTTCAATATCTTTAAACTTAAGCTCCATAAACTAACCATTTTCTTCCTTCCTTTCTCCTCCCTCTCTCTGTTTAATCCGCCACTCCTTACTCCCCCCCCCCAGCAGTTGGGTGAAGCTAATTTAGTGAGGTTCACAGACATCCCCAAGAGGGGTTTCAGGGATCCAGCCTCAATGTTTAGACATTATCAATGACATACATTGAGGTGGGTTGTATCCGTGCTTCCTCAAAACATTTATTTTCTTTTCTCACCCAGTACTTTTAAAAGAGAGAACCAGGCTATATCTACTGAAGGCAAAATAATTAAGAGAATTGAATTATTTGGAGTATTCTCACATTGCTCTTCTTCCTTCCTTCTTTCTATTGAGAAGAAAGAGAAATTTAAAATTTGAACAATCTGGTTATCTCTTGTGATTAAATTTGTAAGCTATTAACTGATTCTGTCTGAGATTACTTGAGTCCTCCTTCTACCAGTTTCATGAGAAATGGTATACAGCCCTGAATGAATCTCTAGTAGAGACACTTAGCAGATTTAAATAGAGTTGAGGAGGCTGGCTTGCCAGGTTTGGCGGAGTGCATTGATTGAAGGTTATTAGATAATTGTTCATCTTTCTACTTAGCCCCATGAGAGGAGACACATACACATATGATAAAATACTCTAAATTAATGTTAAATAGTCCAACTGGGTTCACTAAAGTTATTTACATTTAGCAATGGATTAAAATGTTTGCATTATAGAGGCGATAAATTAGGAGCTGAGTTTTCTTGGATGCTCAGACTTAGAAACAATTGCTGAATACATTTTCAAGGGTTTTCTAGGGAGCACAATTTTCTCAGTGTAATTTGATGAATTGAAAAGTACTATTTTTTGTGGGGAGGCAGAAATTAAGAGAAAAAGAGAAGATATAGTATTATGTGTTATAGGTGCCTACTTAGGCCCATAGAATATTTTATAGTCATTTTTGATAGAGGAAGGAAGATCCAGCATGATTTAGGTTTAGGTTTATTCTAATGACATTAATAAACTAATTATATGTAAAAAAGGTAGCAGTTGCAAATGTTATTTTAAAAATGGTACTTAGAATCGATATTCATGTTTTGCTTTTAAAAAAATCTGG